GGCCCCTATTCAACTCAAAGATCTGTTCTATTTTTCCGTTGCATTACTGATACATTATACATAGGAAAGCATAAAAAACCTAGCTGAGTAAATATTTGACATGCTACACGATAGGAACTATCTTATAAACTTATTTAGATTTTTTTGTTCACACTTAAGTGGCACTTTCATTGTCTCATTGCCTAATGTGTGGTGAAATAACTGAATAAAGATGTGATGGGAATGAAATAAGAAATACATGAAAATTGATATATGTTTTGGTGGATACGGAGGATCCACCTAGGGGAATTGAAAAAACCCTCATTCTAAACCAATGGTGCACATAGGCTCCAGGAGTCTGAGGGAACAAATGTCGTGTGAACCAATCGTTGGTCACGGACTACGATGGGACTGCATCTCCTGACGTTGGTCCACTGCCTTGTAGATCAGACCCTTAGGTTGAAGGCTTCGAGTGTAGCCCCTAATAAAACCGTATACTTCGATCTGAGCACACAGGTAGTACACAAGTCAAGTGACTTGTGTGGCTCATATGTGTTCAGTGCACCAGTGTACCAATAATTATGTGTTCAAATAAATAAATAAACGATATATATTTTCAGTATGGTACCAGTTCTGTTTATCGATTAAGTCTTTTTTCACAGGAAAATGAAATTAAGCATGACATATCATTGAAACTAAGCCTAATGTATGATGCTGTGGACAACCCCGACTATTCTGCTTGATATAACTTCACTGACAGAACTCATGTCACTATAGGAACTAATTAATCAACTTCTCGAACAACAATATCAATAGTTGGTTATTGAATTCACTAAAAGTTATGCTATGTCTGAAGCGATTACGAGTTCACTTACTCTAGGAACGGAACAAAGACCAATAAGCTAGCTATTCTGATGCGTCCCAGCCCCGCCAACTAGAAAGAGAAGTCGAAGTCCAAACGGGGAAGTATATTACGCAAAAAGCCAGAAGCACGAGCGATAACAACAGACACAAATCAAAACGTATATATACAACACAAAAACCGTCTTTGGGAAGCGTTACAAAATAGTATACTAAAAGATACAACGGACCGACATGAAGGCGAAAAGAGCGCTTTTGACGCGAAAACAAAGAAATTCAAGTTTTCAAAATAAAATTACAAAACTAATACCTTTCCAAGTGAGTTCTGGGGATCTAACTTCCCCAATAGTTATCATTATATTTTATTTATGATTAGCTAAACTTGTCAGGTATTTCATTTATTAATTGAATGTATTTGATAACTTCAGTTCCCACACAATGAAATGGGTAAGTTTATGAACCATTGTAATATTGGATAGAATGATGTCATTCAGTAACTCCTTATTAAATCAGTCAGCTACAACGTAGGACCAGGCACATATGTGCATCGGTCTAGGTTGCCATACCGCATCAGCACACAAGATGAACACCGGATTCATAGCAGTGGTTAGGTCAAAGGTGGTAATATATAAGAGAAAGATTGCATATAGGGATATAGTACAAGAAGAAAGAATTGGTTCGTAGAAAGAAAGATATGAAGTGATTTTAATCTAATAGTTTGAAGGAAGACAGAAAGTGTATACACCGACGCCATTGTGATCGATTCTGAGCCATGTCACCAAGAGTCTCCAACCATTGGTTACGGTAGTCACGCGGAAATCAACCAAGTAGTCTGCATCTACCAACATGGTTCAGACTAGGAGTCAGTGACTTCAATAACTGTTGCCTTATTTTGGTTTGGCCAAAATTAACTTTCTTCCAACCATTTCCAATATCGGATAGCCAAGGAAGCCTGCTGACCGATTTGACATAGGGTGTGTATGTTGAAGGCTCCAATGTGTAGTTTGGAGCGAGGTTTCAGTAGACCTGGGACAGAGTTTTGAGCACTAGAATCGTTGGCTATGGTGACACTTGAGGAGGAAGCCGAAAGAGGAAGTTTAGAGTTGAAAGTCGATGTAGGAGGAATAATAGGAATTGAAGAGGGAGGTTGATTATGAATACAGTGGTCTTGAGTGCTGCTAGAGATATGAGGCGGTTATCACTTCCCGGTTGCCCACAAAGTGGAAGGGTTCTTCTGGAGGTACCTGGAAAGGAAATTGAATTAGAGGTGGTCTCAGTGACCTGAGAGCGTGACCGCAGTGCCCAAGGGACAACTGCTTGAGGCCGGTCGCGCATGGCCTTTTCGTGGGAGGTTTTTGACGTGTTAGCTCCGTTCTTCAAAGGGCCTTACCGCCGGAGACGGAAATCCGTGAGGTAAGGTGAGGTGTGCATTTTTAGGGTCGACCTTTTCTAACCCCACCCCTCCTTGTGGGAAGGCAGCATCGCTGTCATGCTGGTTGTCTGAAGGAAACATCTTACTGCTGTCACACCTCTGTACAGTCAGCAGTACGACCTTGGGTTTGTTGCTTTTAGTCTTACCGCTCTTCAACCGACCTTTCTGACATGGTAGGACCTTGAGGAACGGTTGTTCCAGCCAGTATAGCTCGGTTGCTTCATCACGATAGGCAAGCCTGACCACCACGTCAAGGTAGCAACCAACGGTCGGGTCTTATTAAATCCCCATTTAATGAAAATGATTTATAAATAAGCGATAGTATTAAACACAGTTAACTTCAATGAAACAATTATCTTTCATAAAGATTTCTTACAAAGAAATAATAACTGAAGCCCTACACCTACGAGCAAACCCGAATGATCTAAGCAGATGAAATAGAGTACTATTAACTACATCAAAGCTACTTATGATTAGTAAGTAGAAATCTCTACTACTTCTATTTCATCTCGAGCTTGATCAGCTATTGTTTGAATATGCCATGAATAACTAACTTGTTTAAAATTATCATATATTTACTTTTACTTCATACATGCTACAATAAATTTGATTAGTGATTATCTTCGCCTGGAGCCCCTCTCTTGCTACTGCCGGTCCCAAGCCCTGGTTAAGGAGGTGGGTAGGGCATGGGGTTAGCGACCACATGTAGTAGAAAACCAACTCACTAAAAAAACGCTAACCAGTAAAAATAATCCAAACTCTGCCCTAGGAGTTAGAACATCTTCATTTAGAAGAGTCATGACGTCTCATGATGAGAGCAGAATCCCTTCGGAAGTCACGAAGTTGATTTCCCTTCCGACAATCAGAATAACCATTAATTTAGGTACATAAAAGTATTTATCTGATTGACTAATTTCACTTATGTCATATATCCATAAAGTGAAACAATTCACTATTGATTTTGCAAAAATTAACAAAAGTATGACATTAGAAATTCTTTCCTAATCATCATTAAGTCAATCAGACTTGACAAAAATCATCTGAATTGTTTATTGTAGAAAAATTTCATAATTGTAACCATAAACTTATCAAGTAATTTCACCAACAAAATTATGTATTTGCATCTTTCTATATTATAATCTTCACTGATGAAGTACTCAGCTATTAATTAATGTGAAGTTTTGTACACTACTCAGCAATAGGTTATTTTCACTTCGATAATTTTTTGGCCAGAGTACAATTTATGGACGAACCAATCAGATATAAGATTACAGGTCTCGGATTTGGGAGCGAAATTCACTCATCTATTTGGCTAAAGAATTTTGGTATCATAGTTGATGTCATTTCGTGATGAAAACCCTAAATCTAATTCCTAACCTTAACCATCAACAATAATTCATAATTCTTATTCCTCACATAGGTTTATAACTTTCATTTGGTCTTAGTTATTAGATGGACACTCTAAAGGTCAGTCTAGCGTCGCTCAAAGGTCGTTCATAAATTATAGTCTCACCCTTCAAGCGAGAATATACGCTTGCTAAAACGCAGTGAAATTGATAGAAAAACCAAGAATAATTCTACACGAATATCTAATCTGCTTTACCAAAAGGTGTACGGATTGTAGAATCGTCAGTGATATGAAAGCCGAACGTCATCTATAAATACCAATTTCCTAGATAAAACTACTATTTTCCACTTCATTTATCTTAACATTTCCACTATTAATAGTTCTATCCTATTCAAAAAATTCATAGTACTTGAAATCAACTTCAATATGATCTTCAGAATAAAAATGGGGCGGAAACCTGGAGAATTACGAAAGCCAACATCCAGAAGATACAAATGTTTATTAACAGTTGTCTACGCAAAATACTTCGGATCCATTAGCCAAACACTATTAGCAACAACCTAATGTGAGAGAGAAAAAGCAGATTCCAATGGAGGAAGAAATTAATAAGAAGCGCTGCAAGTGGATAGGACATATATTGAGGAAAGCAACCAACTACGTCACAAGGCAAGCCCACACATGGAACCCGCAAAGTCAACGGAGAAGAGGAAGATCAAAGTACACATTACGTCGAGAAATAGAGGCAGATATGAGAAGAATGCACAACAATTGGATAGAACTAGTGTTAGCGGGACAGACTGGATTAAAGCATGCTCAATGCACGATTGCTTTGGTACGCGCTGATTGGCTAATTTTTATCCAATCAGCGTTAGTTAATACTTAGTGAAAACTAAAAATCTTCTCATGTGAAAAACTATAAATATACTAGTGTTTTCCCTATTGACTACTGGCTTGCTTCTTACTTCCATCTAACCTTGTTATTTGGAATATAATCTCTTTTCCTCTTCAACCGTGTTCTGATTTGGGGACTTATCGAGTGAATCGGTGTCTGAGAATACTAAGCAATAGGAATAGCTGGGTCATAACCGTAAGAAAGAGATTATAACAACTAGAAAGGAAGGCTTAGGATATAGTGGGTTGGAGAACGCTAGTCGGTAGCCTATGCTCCATGGATGGGGGTGACAGGCGTAAGTAAGTATCAAAAACGAAAGAGAGTAATAATTATACAACAGAAAGTATCCATTCAACATCAAATTTACTGATATTGACGATGACACCAACAACAACAAGTCAAACAGTGTAAGTATGGATCTTGAATAAAGCCAATATATAAATAGATTAACAGAGTAAATGTAATTACATTGACAAACGTATGTAGCCCTATACACACATATTTATATTAAATTTACTTTGTAAAATGTTACAAATTCTATGATGAAAACAATAGACAAATAAAAAACGAATCATTGGAAGACATACAACTGATATAAATAAACTTAAAATAGAGAATAATAAACGTGGTGCAAATATCTTCCATACCATTAAATGACGACGTAATAAACCAGTACTTAGCATACAACCTAAAGTCTACAATGAAAAACAAAAACAAAAAAAAACTTTTCTTTGGCAAAGATGTCAGTGAATATCATTCGTCATTTGATTAGAATGAACAAACAAACAAACAATTACGTTCAATGATTCACATTTTCAGTCCCATTTTATTTTATTTATTTATTTTAACACATAGATATTGGTACAAGGAAGCACAGAATACATATGCGCCACACAAATCTCATTCGATATGTGTGAGGGCTGTGATACTGCCCGGGTGCCCAAACCGAAGCAGGTGGTTTTCGTAGGGGACCACACCCCGAACCTTCGACCTGAAGGTCTGATCCACAAGGCAATGGAGCATCGTAAGGAGATGCAGTCCCATGGTAGCGAGTGACCAACAATTGGTTCATACGCCATTTGTTCCTTCAGGATACTGGAACCCATGTGCACTATTGATTTGGTTTGGGATCCGATGAAAGCGCCGGACATTCGCTTTTCGTCCTCTCATTTTCGTAAACAACACCCCCGCTACGAGAAGGCAATGAGTAGGACTTCCCTGGCAGAGGCTGTATACGCGTGGCCATGTGAGAGCATTTCGAGAAAGAGAGCGAACTCACTCCACTCTAGGCCGTATCAGGGCATTTCAGTCCCATACTACTTGTCATATTCAAGTTATTTTCTTTATGAAATCAAGATCAATGATCATCACGATGATGAATCTAAATTTTGTTTGTTAAACGAAGCAATTATCAAATTGAATATAGTGAATATCATTAGTTGAAATCTGATCGAGACTATAATTTATGTACGAATGATTCAGATTTCGGGATTTCGGGGCCGAATTCATTCATCCATTTGGTTAAAATAGCGTCTTGACATTTTAGTTGATGTCACAGTTCGTGATGAAAAAACAATAAATCTAATTCCCAACCCTAATCATCAACCGTGAATCATAATCCTTATGCTTGAAACTGCTTTATAACCCTCATTTAGTCCTAGTAAGTAGGTGAACATTCTCAAGGTCACACTGGCGTCACTGAAAGGTCATCTGCAAATTATGGTCTCACCCAAATCTCTTTGGATCGAATTCATTAAAACTATGTGTATTACGATATTATGTATATAGATTTTTTTCCAACTAAGAAACCATGTAGATAAATTGCACGTCGAACGCCCCCAAACGCTCTGGTACGACCGAAAAATGGGGAGAGTCAGCCCGCTTCTCGAAATGCTCTCACATGGCCATGCGCAAACAGCCACTGCTAGGAAAGTCCTACTGACGGTCTTCTCGCGGTGGGGATGTTGTTTACGAAATTGAGAGGACGAAAAGTTAATGTCTGGTGCTTTAACCGGGTTGGTGGACACGGTAGATTCACCTAGGGGAGTTGGAAAACCCTCATTCCAAACCAATGGTGCACATGGGCTCAAGGATCCTAAGGGAACAAATGGCGTATGAAATAATTTTTGGTTACCGGCTACTGCACTCGGGTGGTATTCCAGCCCACACACAAATCAAGTGACTTGTGTGGTGTATATGTATTCAGTGCCCTTTTGTACCAACATTTATGTGTTTAAATCAATCACCCCATAAAAAACTTTACTAGTTATGAAGATTGTCTTGAGTTCTGAAATAAGGGATCGTGAACCTTAAATCTAGTGGTCGACTGATGATGAATACGCATAGAGCCATTTTTTATTAAGTGAAAAGAATATCAGATGAATGTTAAGTTTGAGATTAGATTACAACAGAAAGAACAACAATGTTCGTGTAAATTATCACACAGTGAAGAAAATAGCAACACTTCAATTAGTTTTTACAGATAGTCAGCCTATATTGAATGGGGTTATTAGAATGAAAGTTGCTAATCAAGGTGATTTGTCAAAAATTAGTCTCTAGACTACTAAGCCGGCATCCAACAGTGTTAATATCTAACTTCAACTAATCCATGTGTCGCTCGATTTCGTGGATAAGTCGAAGTTAAACATTAACATCGTTGGATGCCGGCTCAGTGGTCTAGAGGTTAGGCGTTCGCGCTCGAGACCGAAGGTCCCGAGTTCGAATCCAGCGAGGCGGGATTGTGGATGCCCACTACTGAGGAGTTCCACAGTAGGACGAAACGGCTGTCCAGTGCTTCCAGGTTTTCAATGGTGGTCTAACATCAATCGGTTCATGATCTCAATCAGAAAACTTAACAATCTCCACACCCCCTAAACTGATAATTACCATGTGTTCACTAGTGAATAGCTTCGTGAGAAAATTCTCGCAGTTCTGGTGAGAAGCCGTGATCAGTGGAGCTAATCCGTGTCTTATAGAAACAGGTGTCTACCTCAGTACAATGGAAGATGGTCGCGCAACTTTGTGGATTGGTTGAGATTAGACATTAGCACCCTTGGGTGCCGGCTCAGTGGTCCAGTAGGTTAGGCGTTCGCGCGCGAGACTGAGGGCCCTGGGTTCGAATCCCGCGAGCGGGATCGTGGACGCGTATAGATTATTATTATACACTTTACTGTCCAGTTTATTGATTACAGTCTCCCATGTTCACAGTCACATCTTGGCTTGATCTTGTGTATTATTTCTTATTTTATGGTGTGATGCGGTCTGTTTGGTTGGTAAATAAGTCAAGTATGTTAGAAATAAATGATTCTCATAGTGGAAGTTGTTATTGGAGTTCTGGACTCAACTGAAAGGACTAGGAAGAAAAACGACCAATAAGGAAGATAGGTTGCTCATACCGGTTGAACGTCATTGGTTTAGCACAGTACTAATATTGAATAAGTCGTATTTCGATTGGCCAATAATTCACATGATAATTAGCCGGCCTTAAAGTTACAACATATTTTCACTCGAATATCCCACAAAATCTGAAGTTCTTTAAATAAGTCGAAGAATGTTGACTTTATAGAAATACATCCAAGAATGCATGAAATATTATATTGTATTTGAATTTATTTCTTCGAATGATCTGATACCCTTTAGCTAAGTTAAATGTTTTTGGCTGAGCATAACGAGAAAGCAGAGTCACTGTTATACTAGTTGTTTGAGGGAAAAACCTTACTGCCGCTACACCTCTGTACAGGCAGAAGTACGACTTCGCCCTCAGGCCTTAAATCTACTGGTTTTAGCCTTACCTCTCGTCAACCGACCTGTCTGGCACGGTAGGACCTTGAGGAACGGTTTTTCTAACCAGTATAGCTCGATTGCTTCATCACGACAGAAAAGCCCGATCATCACGTCAAGGTAGCGGTAACGGTCGGGAATCGTTGATTTCATGAGTTGTGAATAGTGCATAACTATCACATAGAATGAGAAAATATTGTAAATGTTTACACATATATATTTCAGGATAGTAATGTAGAAATATTTCACAGCGTAGTTCACTCAATTAGTAACAATTTAAATTAACGTTCAATAGTTTTAATTAGCATTCAGATTTCAGTGAAAAAGTTACTAAACTGATTACTAAGCCGTAGTCAATTTGATGTTTGTTTACAATTTAGCGTTGATTACATTGTACTGACCAAGTTGAGATAGGGCTGTAATCCTACAAGATTCAGCATAGTGTGCATCATATTTCGATGTAAGGTCATCGGGACCGATCAATGGGAATCCCTAAGCCTAAGTTCCATTCTTTTTGGCATTTTTCATCAAAGTTTATCTACAGTTTTGAGGAAACTAATGCTTCCAATGACATTCGAATCCGAATAGTCTATTGTGAATGATCAATTTGTATGAATATTCAAGTACTATAAGGAGTTAACCAGCACTACAAACGTTCGGTGACAATGTCTTTCCTTGAAATTGGTTGGATTCCGCGTGACTATCGTGACCAATGGTTGGAGACTCTCAGTAATATGGCTCAGAATCGATCACAATAGCGTCGGTGTACACACTCTTTGTCTTCCGTTAAACTACGAGATCAAAACTGCTTCATATCTTTATTTCTACGAACAAATTCTTTCTTTCTACATTATATTCTTATATGCAATCTTTCTTTTATATATTACCACCATTGAATTTACTACTTCTATGAATTCGATGTTCATCTTGTTGTGCTAATGAGTGAGGTGCAGCAACTTGGACCGATGCATATATGTGACTGGTCCTACGTTGTAGCTGACTGACTTTTCCTGAACCCCTTGGCTAAGAAGGAGTTTTCAACTAACACGAAAATTACATCCATGAGAAAGTCCCATTACTGATAGATAGTTTAGTCTTGTTTTGACTCAGAAAATAGCCTTGATATGTCCTATTAATGAAAATATACTCGTACTAGTTACACAAATAAAACTAGATATTTTTATTGCATTTAAAACCACATGAAATAAGATCATTAAGAGCGCTAGCCAATAACTTACTAACACACTTTTACTAATAATAAATCTCCAAATGAATAAATCCAAAGCATCAACAAATCTGTAAAAACCAGTATTTCGGCTATTGTTAGGATGGGAATGGATCACCGTCCCATGGACATGATGAAGGCGTGCAGAAAAAATAAGAATCGTTGGTATACTGAAAGCAATTAATATAGGACCTGAATATAAATGCAAGAGAACAGTCAATCCTGGTAACCAACGTGTATTATGGTCACCTTCATATGTAGCATAAGCGGCATCCCATGGAATTCCAGATAATGTTGGTTGATGACCAGTTATAAAAAAAGATAAGTTATCTAACAAGCAAAGAAATATTGCAATAATCCATGAGATGCAGCTCTGAGGCACATGAAGCTGTATTGAATCTAAAGAAATTATAAAAAGGATGGATTAGTTAGGGGATACTAAGTCTGTTACTGATGATAAAAAGGAGCTTAACGATATATTATAATTTCTAAGAAGGTAATTTTTCATTATTTGATAATGAGTGAAAAATAAGTGAGGAAACATTAGTTGTATTCGTAGGGTTATCAGGAAAGATTCACAGTTTTCGTAAACTACATTAACATTTGATTTTTGACGAGACAAACAGGCCGATATGACTAAGTAATTTGATATGATAATAAGAACAGATTGTACACGAAACGAAAACATATACAACTGATCCCTCACCAGTATCTAAGATAATACGATGGAAGAATGATTCATGCTGATTGATCCAATGGTAGAATAACTTGGTTAACAAGATCACTGAGGCTAAAAGCAATATCTGAAGTAGAGAAATCCCTATTCTATAATTTAACAGAATGATATATATATATATATATATATATATATATATATATATATATATATATATATATATATAGTCACCTGCCAAAAGTATTTCCAGAATTTGTAGGGACCTATGACGAACATTTACTAATCTTTTGGACCGGCGGGGGTAGGCATAGCACTAAGTACGAGGGTGGAACAAGCACTATTAGAATGGAACCCTGTTAACAGTCATCTATGTGCAGTTCGGCTGAACGACTCTGTAAGAACTCGGAAGGACAGGAACACACGTCGTTGCCTGTTTGTCGTTGCTGCCTACGGTCCCACCGACTGCAGCTCAGATGAAGTGAAAGATGAATTTTACAGAAAGCTATCTGAACTTCTTCAGAAAGCTAAACGTTCAGACATAGTACTTGTAGCAGGTGACTTTAATGCTCAGATAGGTAGTTTAAACCAAACAGAAAGGCATTTAGGTGGGTATTTTAGTATTCCGGCACAACGAACAGATAATGGTGACCGTCTGCTGCAACTGTGCTCAGACAATCGTTTATGTTTGGCAACCACTAATTTTAAGCATAAGAAGAGACATCATCTAACATGGCGACCTTCCGCACCAAACCAACGATGGACTCAAATAGACCATATTGCCATCAATCATCGTTGGAGAGGCTCGATGGAAGATTGTCACTCGTTCTGGAATACCTGTTTGGACTCCGATCATGCTTTAATACGAGCACATATTTGCATGCGCCTTACTGGACGCAGAATAACCACATTAGGAAGACCTATTAGAGTTGAACTCCGTGACGAGAAAGCCAAAAGTATATTCTAGGAACAACTGACGTCACACTTAGGCAGTTCTGGAAACGAGTCTGACCCAGATTTTGCTTGGAAAGATATACAAACAGCTGTGGAAAGAGCAGCAACATCTATTAGTGTTTTGAGCCAAAGGGTCACGAAAAACCAGTGGATTTCTACTAAGTTTATTGCACTGGTATATTCTCGTAAACTTATCCCTTTAGGCTCCGAACATTATGACGAGCGAAAACAAATAAGATCTAGATTAACAAAAAGTCTAAGGAATGAGCGTGAGCGGTGGTGGGTAACGAAAGCAAAAGAAATGGAAAAGGCAGAGGTTGTAGTTAACGCCAGACAGCTTTTCAGACTAATAAAAGAAAATGGAATTAAGAAGTCAAGTGTAAGTGAGACGATCTAGGAAAAAGACGAAACTTATCTGCTCTCAGCCCAGATGTTTAGAATGATAGGTGAAAAGCTTTAAGGAGCATTCCAGCTGGTCTTCAGCTAATCTACAACTAGCAACATTCCCAAACAGCCTGAATGCAACGCTGAAGTAGACTCCCCGATTAACTGAAGTTCAAAAAGCCATAGCTAATCTATAACGAGGAAGAGCAGTTGGTCCAGATGGATTGGCTCCAGAGGTCTTTAAGGATCGCGGTCCAATTTTAGCGATTAGGTGGACTAATAATTTAGCTAAAATCTGAGAACTGGATGTAATCGCATCTGACTGGTCTCAATCACTGATCGTCCCAATATATAAGAAGTAAAACTCATCCTGTGATAACCATAGAAAGATAAGTTTAACTAATATACCATCTAAAATACTAGCCTCAGTAATTATCAGACGCCTAATAAAGATTCGCGAACTGCAAACAAGAGAAAATCAGGCTGGCTTCAGACCTGGTCGTCAGATTTTAGAACTAAGGCATGCTTATCAGCGTCGACAATGATAGTTTTTCGTGAATTAAAAGTAGCATTTGACTCGGTTCTGTGGCACTGTCCGTCATTGAAAGGCGTACCTCAGAAGTACATAAACCTTGTGAACGCTCTTTACTCAATCACTGCCAGTCGAACTGTCATCTAATTTTGCAAACTCAAGTGGTGTCTGTCAAGGCTGTCCACTTTCTCCATTTTTTCAGTTTCATCATTGACCTACTACAGGAAACAACGTTCTCGTCGACTGAATTCTCGGGCGTTGATCTCCCTCCAGGAAGTCCACGTATCGATCTAAAATACGCAGATAACATAGTCCTGCTTGGTAAAGACGCTGATAAAATGTAGTCTTTTAATAGCACTGAACAACAATTTTAGGATGTTTGGGATGCGTTTCACACCCTCTAAATGCAAGTTGTTGATTCAGGACTGGTCTGCGTCAACACCTGAACTAAGGATAGGGAGTGAAGTAGTCAAACACGTCGACAACTTCACTTATCTTGGAATTATGATTAGCCCTAATGGGTTAGTGTCTGACGAAATATCAGCGTGGATTTGAAAAGCTCGTTTGGCTCTTGTCAACTTACGTCACCTATGGCGAGGGCGAGATATCCGTCTATCAATTAACGGACGAGTGTACTACACGGCAGTTCGTTCTGTTCTACTTTACGGCTGCGAAACGTGGTGATTAAGAGTAGGAGATACCCGTAATTTACTAGTATTTGATAAAAATGCCCTAGAAATATTGCTCGCATCTGCTGGGAACACCGGGTAAGTAATAGTAAGATTAGGCGCAGGATATTAGGAATGATGGTAAATCAGTTGATTAGGCTGTGAATCTTCATCAACTGAGATGGTTAGGCCACGTGTTACGTATGCTTGAGCTCCGATTACCACGACGCGCAATGCTGAATAGTGTTGGGAACGGTTGGATGAAAGTTAGGGGTGACCAAACCAAAACGTCGCATCAGTCCTTCAAGTCACTAACTTCTAGGCTGAGCCATGTTGGTAGATGCAGACTACTTGGTTGGGGTCCGCGTGACTATCGTGACCAATGGTTGGAGACTCAGTGACATGGTTCGGAATCGATCATAATGGTGTAGGTGTATGCACTCTTTGTCTTCCCTTAAACAACGAGATCAAAATTGCTTCATATCTTTATTTCTACGAACAAATTCTTTCTTTCTGTATTATATTCTTATATGCAATCCTTCTTTTATATATTACCACCATTGAATTTACTACTTCTATGAATTCGATGTTCATCTTGTTGTGCTAATGAGTGAGGTGCAGCAACTTGGACCGATGCATATATGTGGAGTTCAACCAGGTCTGTTGTGAGGTAGTAACTCACTGAAGACAATGGTGAATGGGTCGCTCAATTTCGTGGATTAGTTGAAGTTAGACATTAACACCGTTGGATGCCGGCTCAGTGGTCTAGTGGTTAAGTGCTCGGGCGCGAAACCAGTAGGTCCTGGGTTCGAGTCTCGCAGGGGGCGAGGTCGTGGGTGCGCACTGCTGAGGAGTCCCACAGTAGGACGAAACGGCCGTCCAGTGCTTCCAGATTTTCCATGGCGGTCTAGCTTCAACTGACTCATGATCTTAACCATTGAAATAAAAAGAATGTTTAGTACATTGTATATTTGAATAAATTATAATATTAAACTCACTTTTAATACATTTATCCATATGATTACATTTTATAGTAGTTGCATGTATACGTATTTGAACGAATATAATCATGAAAACTAACCAAATTATATGGAATTCATTTAGGAAAACAAGTAGAGAAAGTAATGGTAAAACTGTTAAACAGGTCATTGTCCATAAAGTGTACAGATAGAGAACACTTCTTTGAATGGATTGATTACAATCATTTGACTGCATAGATTTTATAAAATTTATCTGTTGAATAAGTTGAAATGGAGATTTCAAAAGTTGAAAAAATATGTAGAATATAGTCATCAAGAAAATGCGAGCAATCCATATCCGAACTGTATGCCTAGACAAATAAAATGTACCATTCAACATTCAATATACTTAGAGAGTATCAAATGATCTCATTTTCAGCAAAGAAAAAAAGTACTCATTTAGTCGGATGATAAAACGCTGATGCAAGATTAGGATAGATAGGATTTAAGTGTTTAAAAACCTGAATAATAAACAGTCGGGATGTAGATGTCTTAGCGGTAATCAAAGGAGAACCAGGATTTCACATTTACTCACACTAATTAACAAAACTAATCTACAAAAGGATTTATGATTTGGGAGATTTCGATTCGCTTTCATTACCGCCTCATTTACAAATGGTACAACTAAGCTATTTTGTCGAAACTGTACACTTTCAACTTATAAATAATGATTATAACTTCACAATTTTCTCTTCATAACCTGATGGTATAACTGAAACACGAGTTACCTAAATATTATCAATTGTAAGTGAAAAAATTATCCCATAATATTATCAGTTATTATTAGATGCTTTCTTTTTTTTTAATGCTTTTCCGCAAACTAAGATGTGAAAAATAATTTAGCCAGTTTAACATTAGCTGATTCCCCAGATTAAATGTTTCAAACTGGAAACAAAAAGAGAGAAGAGGGTAGAGAGGTTTATGGAACTAAGTTCACAAAATGTTCAAGATCATATGATTATATAGGATTCAGTTTTGACTTAATATAGTCGAGGCCTAGTGCCTAGTGCTATGGGCACTTTAAAATCTGCCCCCAAATGCCCTGGTACGGCCGTGAATGGAGAGGGTCCGCTATCCCTCTCCAAATGCCCTCAAGTGGCTACGTGCATACAACCACTATCAGGGAAGTCCTACTCACTCTTCTCACGGTGCGGATGTTGTTTACGAAATTAAGAGGATGGAAAGCGAATGTCCGGTGCTTTCACCGGATCCCAAACTAAATCAATGGTGCACATGGGCTCCAGTACCCTGCGGGAACAAATGGCGTATGAACCAATTGTTGGTCACCGGCTACCACGGGACTGAATCTCCTGACGATGCTCCACTGCCTTGTGGATAAGACCTTCAGGTCGAAGGCTCGGGGAGTGGCCCACTGGGAAAACCACCTGCTTCGGTTTGGGCACCCGGGCAGTATCACAGCCCTCACACATATCGAATGGGATTTGTGTGGCGCATATGTATTTGGTGCCTCTTTGTACCAATATCTATGTGTTGAAATAAATAAATAAATAAAATAAAATAAAACAAATAACAAGTATGCTGTTTAATATTGAGAACCTCTAGAATAAGACAGAACAACAATCTAGAGTAACTATGGCCAAATGACAAATTTATATATTTAGTTGAACACATAAATATTGGTACAAAGGGGCACTGAATACATATGCGCTAAACAAACCACTTAATTTGTGTGTAGGCTGTGATACTGCCCGGGTGCTCAGACAGAAGTAGGTGGTTTTCTCAAGGGGCCATATCCGGAGCCTTCAATCTAAAAGTCTAGTCCACAGAGTAGTGGAGCAACGTAAGAAGATGCAGTCTCATGGGAGCCGGTGGCCAATAATTGGTTAATACACCATTTGCTGCTTCAGGATCCTGGAGCCCATGTGCACCATTGGTTTGGAACAAAGGTCTTCCAACTGGTCTAGGTGGATCTTCCAAATACATCAACCCGGTTAAAGCGCCGGATATTAGCTTTTCTTCTTCTCAATTTCGTAAACAACACCCCCGCCACAAGAAGGTGAGTAGGATTTCCATGGTAGTGGCTGTACACGCGTGGCCATCTGAGACTATTTCGAGGAGAGTTAACTCTCTTCACCGTCGACCGTACCAATGACAAATAACAATAACGATATTCAGATGAATGGCTTATAAGCGCTTTTTTACAAGACTCGATGTAGTCACTTTTGCCAACAAGCACAAATGATTTGAAAAATAGAAAATAAGAAAATATCACATAGTTGTCTCATCCACTCTAAGAAAATGAAATGAGAATAACTTACAATTTATGTTTTGGAATGAATCCAATCCAATTCGTTGATTCCGCAGAATCCACCATCCATAATAAAGACAATAAACTACCAATTAATATAAATAAACATAATTTCCTCCAACTAACTTTATTCGATTGATTAATACCAATATATATATTTAGATATTCAAACAACAACCGCCAATACATACGTAAACAAATGATTAACATGAAACAAGCAAACGTTACACGTATCCAACTAATTGGATGAAATTCATGAATAGGATTTAATTTATTCAAAGATTTACTAATCCATGGATCAAGTATAGATCGACATATAGAACTATAGTTTAATTCTTCACGACAAATTAGAAAATGTCTAATCAATAAACGAAATAATAACAATATACCTGGATAAAGTATCATCATAAATGGAAGACAAGGAAAAGACCATAATCTTCGTAAAAATTTAAAGTTATACCATGTCATAATATCAGTATGATCCATGATATGAATGAATGAACAAATTAGAAATAGAACAATTAAACTTTGAATGAAATAGAAAGTGATATGAAATTCATAGATAATCATACTATTTGATAAATAACTTAAAGACAATAAGAATAGTAACAAGAAACCAATAGAGTTACCATTGAATATCAACTTTGAAAACTTATAATGTTTAATGATAACATATAAGACTAGGATGAATAATAAAAGATTTAAGTAGTATATATTTATACATGAAAAAAACGATAAAATACATGTAAACAATAAGAAACTATTATGGATATGTATCATTGAAGTATTGGAAATCTTTTCAATCAATAATAAAAGAGTAATCAAACTGTAACATGTTAAAAGGATACCAAAGAATATCAATGAATCATTGAATTGAGTCCAATGTATACGAAATATGAATTGTAATTCTTTAAGTATATTTATTAATTGTATATCATTGAACTGTTCTATCCAATCATAAGTTGAATTGAATATAATACGATTCATATAAGACATAAGTATAGGAGATAATGGTAATTTGCTTATATTATAAAAATAATTTGCAGTATAAGTGAACATCTGTAAAGGAGAGTTAGTGAAAAATAAATGAAATGGTAAAACATTATATACAGGTGCTATGTTTGGAAGCGATTACGAGTTCACCTAGTCTGAGAATGGAACAAAGACTATGACCAAAGACCAATAAGCTAGGTATTCTGATGCATTCCAGCCCCTTTAACTAAAGAGAATAGTTCTTAGCGGGACATAGATTGGAATAAAGCATGCTTAATACACAATTGCGTTGGCGCACGCTGATTGGCTAATACTTATCCAATCAGCGCTAGTCGATACTTGGAGAACACTCTAGAATCTTTTTATGTAAAAACTATAAATATACTGACGTTTTTCCTATTATGCTTCTTACTTTCATCTAATCTTGTTATTTGGGACATAATCTCTTTTCCTGTTCAATCGTGTTCTGATTTGGAGACTTGTCGAATAAACTGGTCACCGAGAATACGGAACAATGGGAATAGCTAGGTTGTAATAAGAGAGAATTATAACAGTAGTCGAAATTCGAATAGAGAAATATATTTCGCAAGCAGCCAGAACCACAAGAGATCCCGACTGGTCTAGTCGAAAATACACTCATTTATGTATTGGTTTGTACAACCAATAATCAGAATAAATCACATACATGAAAACACTTCATACAAGAATAAAATGTCATAGGGGAAATTGAAACAAATACTATACTGAGTGATCGCCAAATTGAATTAAACAGAATTATTGTTAAACCAAAAATCATAATGAATAAATCAATTTAATTTTGACCTTTCATACTGTCATAACAACAGGCCAATATATTAAAAGTGTAATAAAAATAATAAATCAATTACATTAAGACTACGGAAATTATGCGCCCCCGAATGCCCTGATACGGCCGACAGTGGAGAGAATCAGCTCTCCCTCTCGAACTGCTCACACGTGGCCACGTACATACAACCACTGCCAGAGAAGTCCTACTTACTGCCCTCTCGTGTCGGGGGTGCTTTTTACGAAATTGAGAGGACGAAAGCCGTATATCCGGTGCTTTGACCGCGTTCATGTATATGAAGGATCTACCTAGACAAGTTGGAAAACCTTGATTTCAAACCAATGGTGACCATGAGGAATAACAATATCAAAAGAGAAAAGAATATGGGGTCCAGGATCCTGAAGGAACAAGTGGCGTATGAACCAATCGTTGGTGACCGGCTATCATGGGACTGCATCTCCTGACGTTGCTCCACTGCCTTGTGGATAAGACCTTTAGGTCGAAGTCCCCGGGTGTAGCACCCTAATAAAACCACCTGCTTCATTTTGGGAACCCGAGCAGTATCCTAGCCCCGGCACAAATCAAATGATTTATGTGTCGCATATATTTGGTGGCACCTCGTACCAATGTTTATGTGTTTAAATAATGATAATAATAGTCTGATGGCTTCAAAATCTCAGCTAATATACAGAATCGCATTAATTAGCACTGTTTTCATTCTTGTCATACAAAAGACTAGCTTGTTGGGATACTAAATATGTATCATATAAAGTAAAATAAGTCTGTACTTAGTTGTTTGCCAATATACAATGTCGTTACAGTTTTACTCTCCAAAGGTCTGACCGATTTTGATCGAATAAACAATCTTAATTTAACATCTGCTAGAGGGACCAACAAAATACATACAATAATAATATAATGACATTAAATTAATAAAATCATTAGCAGTAAATCATGGATACAAATTTACCTGTATAAAATTCAATACCATACCCTGGTGAAGGTTAGCACCATATCCTAGCAGATGGTCATATAGTATGCCCAAATTCGAATAGGGTATTGGAACATTAGTTAGAAGTGATAAAGTTGGGACAAGATCTATTTGATGTAATCGTCTATTAGTTTGGTTCTCTGAATCATCTTTTATGACAAATGAACTCTGATCAGCAGTAAAAACGATGAAAGCAGCTTCCAGTTCTGCATCACTATCTCCACCATGATCACCTGATCGTGTCATTCCATGGTCACCCAAAATAAATAGAATATCGGAAGATTGAAGTTTAGAAACAATAAGTCTAGAAAGAAATGCATACGGGTAGAGGAACAAACCCAGACAACAATGCGGTATATTTAAGTATAGATGAAAATCGGTGAAAACATCTAAAAATAATTCTGAAAGTCAACGTGATCTTAAAGAAATGTTACAAATTTGGATGGTTTGTAAAGTAGCCTCACCTCACTTCGAGTTGGTCTTAAATAGCTCCGCACGAAGAGTAAGTGTAGACACAGATTAGTCCCAGTCTAGTAGAACCATTTTTGCAATTCAATGATGCAAAGCACGTACATGGCATAATCATGGACGCTAGTCGTCAAATTGGTTAAGTGTGATTTAGGTAAACTTTATCTGATTGTACATTACGACGACATAGCTTGCACAATTAAGACTGAAAAGTTATTCCCACGTAACAGGCTACAAGTCTATACATTACCACTACGTACATTCTTCAGAATTGTATCGATTTTGTGTAGAGCTTCCAATATTTTAATAGACTTTTCAGGTGCATTTAGAGAATAGTAATATTCAGAGAATCGAGTGCAACCACAATGTCAAGAAACAAACCGACTGTAGGTTTGTGATAATGTTCAAGGATTTGTCGGAAGGTAGAGTCACAGGACTAATACATTCAAAATCTCCCACGTAACAGGCTACAAGTCTATACATTACCACTACGTACATTCTTCAGAATTGTATCGATGGGTGAAACTTAAAGATAAATGGTGAGACGGAGTAACTCTATTTAGCCTCATTAATGAGTTGGAACAATGTACAGAGTTGGCCATATGCACTCATTTTGTATGTGGTGATTTTGTGTAGAGCTTCCAATATTTTAATAGACTTTTCAGGTGCATTTAGAGAATAGTAATATTCAGAGAATCGAGTGCAACCACAATGTCAAGAAACAAACCGACTGTAGGTTTGTGATAATGTTCAAGGATTTGTCGGAAGGTAGAGTCACAGGACTAATACATTCAAAATCTCGATGAACACGGGTCAAATTCTCAAGCGTAGGACATTCGCTTTTCGTTCTCTCAATTTCGTAAACAACAGCCCCGTCATGAGAAGGCCTTCCAGGTTATAGATATACACAGCCATTAACATATTCTCTTCCGAGCTGTTTCTAGAATGTCATCAGTTGGAAACATGAAGAATAATAAGTTTGAGCAGATCTCTCTAAACTCATTACTGGGTTCGAACAATGGAGAGAGGTGATTGTATGCCCTCACTCTTCTTGAGGTATTTGTGTAAAAATCCTTTCAGATATTAATTATCCTTGCATGAAAACCCATGATAGCATAATCCCATCCAACGAAATGAAGGTGACCTCGACATTAAGGAACACAATGACCATTGTTCTACGATAGGTGGAGGGTGTTTTAGAGTTTGGCTGAAGATGAAGCACTAGAGAGAAAACTTATAACCTCGATAATTCTCACACAGCCCAACCCACTAAGGTGGAAGTTATAAAGAAACATCATTTCCTATGCCAGTTTCTCCTCACTTTGATAGGACCCTCCGTATCACCTAACAGCATACAAACGAATGCTAATGGAGATCCATTCCACTAGTAATGCCTTTGCTCTGAAGTTCAGTGCGACACCAACCCCAGTAAAGTATGCAAACCTACAAATGATAAATGAGTTACACTATATTAAACGACAACTATTAACCCATGAAAATATATGATGATAATAAAAATTTCGACTGACTTTATAAAACTGTTTAGTTCATTTAGCTTTCGCGTCATCTCTGGATGTGCAGGTCCATATGTGTGACCACAGTGATCTATCCCTAGCATATGTCCAATAAGAATATCCCAGTCAGTCTGTGGTGTTTGACTGTCAACAACTCCATTATCCCAATCCCATGCAGTACCGTTAAGGGCATAGAGAAAGTAGTTTTCAACACCTCGGTCAACTGTATCCAAATCCTTCACATTGAACGATGAATAAGCTTTATAATGACTGAAACTGTGTGTTGAAACAAAAAATTAAGAGAATACACTGACGAGAATATATATGCACAAAAAAAGCAATGTATATATCAACAGTGAGTCACAAAAATAGCATAATCTGCATGTATTCACAAGTAGGTTAGTAATAAGTCAATGTTACGAATATGTAATGATATTGTACTGAAGGTAAACATGCTTTAACCACTCTATGTCAAGTATTTTTTTGCTATAATTAATAGAATAGGCAACTGGAAATAGTTGAATAATTATATCATATCATACTATTGATCTAACATAAGTGCAGTCAGTCAGGCAGTCGGCTACGAAGTAGGACCAGGCACACATGTGCATCGGTTCAAGTTCCCATACTTCATTAGCACAGCAAGATGACAACCGGATTTATAGAAGTAGTTAATCCAATGGTGGTAATATATAAAAGAAAGATTGCATAGAAGGATATAGTACAGGAAGAAAGAATTAGTTCATAGAAAGATATGAAGCAAAACATAAGTTCCCACTCAAAATGCCACAAAACTCTCATGAAAATCACAAAACGATCAAAAACTATCACTATAACATGCGAACCCTCCAAATGCAACTACGTAGAAGCTTTTACCTATTTTCCATGAGACATGAGATAATACATCTTATCTCTGTAAATACACATGGAAGGAAGAAACAATATAGCAAAGCAATCAATTTTTAAAAATAACCCCAGCTAGTCAGCTCCTAAAAAAAACGCTTTGGATCATAGTGCAGTGAACGATAATACAAGTGGGGATAATCGAATGTATTGGAACACAAAATTGCAGAACATCTTAGTAAGATCTGAGAACCATACAGTAAAATACCTAATTTGCAAAATGTCGATCAAACTTGACTGTTCCTTTTGCAAATATCAGTCAATCGTCTTAGACTTCATTGTTTCTGCATTTCCATACTAACTGCTTTCTGTTCCCGTTCTTTCTTCGTCGATCTTCTTGACCTTCCGTTGCCAGACATTCTATTCCCGACTAGCGTTATACACTACTTATGTCGATATACGTAGAATACACCACAATATTATCATCAACGAACTACATACGCCACTGAAGTGACGTAAGTAAAGCATACAACAAAATTATTTCGATAACTCGTGGGACCTAGCTGTCCTCAGATTAAATAACGGGAAATGTCATTAAGAGTTTGGCTTAGAAAATAGCAAGAATTTTGTTGCCACCAAATTAATGCAGTCATTGAGAGTGAACTAGGGGGTATAGCTAAAACACCAAAACAAATACATCGGAATCTGAAAACCTTTAAGTTGAATATAAACTAAACAAACGGCTTGAATAATAATCGATTTGACTTACAAGACTTAATAAAACAGTAAGAGAATGAAAAATAAAATTTGCGGAAATTTCTGACAAATTTATTCTGAAGAACTCTGTGCTCAAAACTACATCCCGGGACATCAAACGAAAATTACCACAATTGACCAAAAAACAGCAAAATTCGATAGTCGAGCGAGAAACAGCACTTTATGCAAGTCACTGGTAGCGCGAGGTTTGGTATCGGTAAATAATATGTTTATGTGTTTAATCACCTTCAAAAATAATCTGTGAAATGTGGATGACAATCATTAATCTTCTATTTTGCGTCAAAAATGTTGGCTATTTTCATACTAAACAAATTGGATGGAAAACCCGAAGAACTGACTCATGAGAATTTGACCCGTGTTCATCGAGATTTTGAATGTATTAGTCCTGTGACTCTACCTTCCGATAAATCCTTGAACATTATCACAAACCTACAGTCGGTTTGTTTCTTGACATTGTGGTTGCACTCGATTCTCTGAATATTACTATTCTCTAAATGCACCTGAAAAGTCTATTAAAATATTGGAAGCTCTACACAAAATCACCACATACAAAATGAGTGCATATGGCCAACTCTGTACATTGTTCCAACTCATTAATGAGGTTAAATAGAGTTACTCCGTCTCACCATTTATCTTTAAATTTCACCCATCGATACAATTCTGAAGAATGTACGTAGTGGTAATGTATAGACTTGTAGCCTGTTACATGAGGAAAACTCAGTTCCAACACCCTATTCGAATTTGGGCATAATATATGACCATCTGCTAGGATATGGTGCTAACCTTCACCAGGGTACGGTATTAAATTTTATACAGGTAAATTTGTATCCATGATTTACTGCTAATGATTTTATTAATTTAATGTCATTATATTATTATTGTATGTATTTTGTTGGTCCCTCTAGCAGATGTTAAAGTAAGATTGTTTATTCGATCAAAATCGGTCAGACCTTTGGAGAGTAAAACTGTAACGACATTGTATATTGGCAAATAACTAAGTACAGAGTTACAGTGATGGCGATGGCGGTTCGGTAGATGAATGTAAAGCTCATTTTTATTGCTAATTATGAAATGTTGGAATTATAACTATCATACGTTTTATTAAGAACTTTTTCACGATAAAATAAACAAATATATGACATCAATCGACATACCTATCAGGAAATAGATCAATCCAAGTTTCATCGCCAACAAATCGAATTTGTTTTCCAGCTTTATTCCACTGTTTTAGTAAATTATCTTCCAGTACTTTGCTTCCGCCAAAATTTGAACCTGCATCTATAAATGTTGGCATACTTCCTGTCATTAGAGCTTTTAAACGTTGTAACGTGGTTGTCGGCGGGTCTGCGACAAACTTCCCAATAAATACCGCTTTAGATAAACTATCAAGTAGTGGATGATATCGATTTTGGGAATGTGATGAAATATGACCAGGTAATAATTGGTTATTTTCATTATTGTCTTGTATAAGTGCATAACCCAATGCATCAACAAGTAAAAGGATAATTCGACCATTTCTAGCAACAGTTGAAGGATAATTCAATGATAATTTCAATTTTTCATTTGTTTCATTGTAGAGCTCAGTTCGATTCAATAAAAAACCATGTAGAAATAGACTGATACCAAGAAAGGCAATAATGATTGATGGTAACTTGGACAAAATTGATATCTCGTAGTCACAATGTTTAATGATGTACTTAATGAGACTTTTACTGCATTTTTTTATTATATAGTCCATTTCTTGAAATCAATATAGCTAGTGAACAGAAGGAGACAGTAATGATTATATCTTTTGATAACGTAAGAGTAAGGGAAGTAAAAGCTTATAAATTGATTTGAATAGCTTTTATAAATTAATGGATAGATGGAATTTAGAATTTATATTATGTTCGGTTAAAAAAGAATAAGAAAGAGTTGGGAAATTACATTTACACAAGACAAAAAGTTTAGGCAATTTATCTTAACATCTGTGATATTGATTATCAAAGTCCCCACATTTCTTTAGACGTAATCATCCGCTCCTTTTCATCTTTTTGTGTAAATAAGAGCTCAGTAGCACTAACCTTATATAATAAATTCTGCTTCAAGTGAACCAATAAATAAACCTTGACTATCATCTTAACTAACGAGTAACCACTTCACCTTTTATAAACATATTTGATGAATACTGAGGGAATAAACATAAACCAAGAGTATCCTATCACATGGGACGGACGGTTTTGGAATTTACTAAAGTATTCACAATAATCAAATGCTGTCTGTTTAGCTGTATTTTTCGTTTCAACAAAAATCAGTTCCTCTACGTTGGACCTATCAATGGTAATAGGTGTTAAGAACTAACAACAGGAAGTAATACTAAGTATGTTCAAATTGAATCTATTGTAGAAGTAAATACAAATTAAAAAGGTTGAAATAAATTACCTGTAAATGAACTTCGAGTACCCACATCTAGCGCATAAGCTTTTTCGATCAAATCAACACCAACGCGAAAATCACCTGGGACAATTATTTGAAGGTGAAATGAATAAATAAGTGGGTATGACTTCAAATGCACACACCAAGATTTTACAGAAGTGACATTTAGTGAGAAGATACTATTTCTACTAATTCTCCAGGTAGTTTACGCTATGAAAAAACTCGTGTCAAGATTATTTTGATTGTAAACGTAAATTATGCAATTCAGTCAGTCAGCTACAACGTAGGACCAGGCACATATGTGCATCGGTCCAGGTTGCCATACCGCATCAGCACAACGAGATGAACACCGGATTCATAGCAGTGGTTAGGTCAAAGGTGGTAATATATAAGAGAAAGATTGCATATAAAGATATAGTACAAGAAGAAAGAATTGGTTCGTAGAAAGAAAGATATGAAGTGATTTTAATCTCTTAGTTTAAGGGAAGACAGGGAGTGTATACACCGACGCCATTGTGATCGACTCTGAGCCATGTCACCAAGAGTCTCCAACCATTGGTTACGAAAGTCACGCCGACCCCAACCAAGTAGTCTGCATCTACCAACATGGCTCAGACCAGAAGTTAGTGTCTTCAAGCACTGATGCCACGTTTTGGTTTGGCCGCCCCTAACTTTCTTCCAACCATCTCCAATACCGGATAGCATTGCACGTCGTGGTAATCGGTGTTCAGGCATACGTAACACGTGGCCCAACCATCTCAGTCCATGAAGATTCACAACCTCATCAACTGATTTACCATCATTCCCTAATACCCTGGGTCTAACCTCACTATTACTTACCCGGTGATCCCAGCAAATGCCAGCAATATTTCTAAGGCATCTGTGGTCAAATACTAATAGCTTACGAGTGTCTTCTACTCTTAGTGGCTATGTTTCGCTGCCGTAAAGTAAAACAGAACGGACTGCCGTGCAGTATACCCGTCCTTTTATTGATAGACGGATATCTCGCCTTCGCCAAAGGTGACGCCAGTTGACAAAAGTCAATCGAGCTTTTCGAATCCGTGCTGAGATTTCGTCAGACACCAACCCATTAGGGCTAATCAGACTTCCATAATAAGTGAAGTTGTCAACGCGTTCGACTCCCTATCCTTAGTTCAGGTGTTGACGCAAACCAGTCCTGAAGCAACAACTTGCATTTAGAGGGAAAGAAGCGCATCCCAAACATTCTGGCATTGTTGCTCCGTGCTACCAGAAGACTCTGCATTTTGTCAGCGTCTTCACCAAACAGGACTATGTCATCTGCGTATTCTAAGTCGATAAGTGGACCTCCTGGAAGGAGATCAATACCCGAGAACTCAGTCGACGAGAAAGTTATTTCCATCAGTAGATCTATGATGAAGTTAAACAAAAATGGGGAAAGTGGACAGACTTGACGGACACCACTTGAGGTTGCAAAAGTAGATGACAGTTCTCCATAAGCTCTCACTCGACTAGTAGTGTTCGAGTAAAGAGCCTTCACAAGGTTTATGTACTTCTGTGGTACGCCTTTCATTGACAGACACTGCCACAGAATCTCGCGGTCTACGGAGTCAGATGCTGCTTTTAAGTCAAGAAAGACCACCGTTGTCGGACGCCGATAAGTATGCCTGTGTTCTAGAACCTGACGAATGGTGAATATGTGGTCGATGCAGCCACGACCAGGTCTGAAGCCAGCTTGAGTCTCTCGTGTTTGCAGTTCACGAGTCTTAGTTAAGCGTCTGATAATTATCGAGACTAGTATTTTAGATATTAGATTAGTTAAACTAATCCCTCTGTGGTTGTCACAAGATGATTTTGACCCTTTCTTATATATTGGGAAAATTATGCAATTAATATTGAGTGATAGGGATAAAAGCCCATGATACGAAGCTTTAAGTTATGTTAGTGTTGTTAAGAAGTTTTAGCACAGGATGAAATAGTTTTTTAACACATCTTGATGTTCGGTTAATCAAAATATGAAAACATCTGACTGATAATCAAAGGATGGCTGGGGTCCAGGAACATGAGTAACTGATTGATGAAAACAGGGAAATCCATGAAATTTAATGATAGGTCAGAGGTGATATGATATCAAATTCGATTGACCTTTTCAATTAATACTAGTGTTTAAAGTTTTTTTTAGTATTTATTAATTCCGACTAAACTTTATTGACTTTCAGCGAATTTTCTTACTTACTTACTAGCTTACACCTGTTACTCACACTGGAACATAAGTCGCCGACCAGTATTCTCCAACCCACTGTCCTGGACCTTCCTTCCTAGTGCTATCCAATTGTTATTCATTCTTCACAGGTCTGTCTTTATTTCTAAGGGTAATGTGTTCTTTGGTCTTCCACTTTCCCGGTGGCCATGTGACTCAATCCGGTGCTTTCCTCAATGTGTGTCCTATTCCATACAAATAACTCTAGTTTTATACACTTCGTCAAAATTATCTCACGTTTACCACCTACCGCAAATTATATTATTACTTCTTATACTTTTCTACTGACCACTTTAATCTCTTGATTTGTCGATAGGCGTTGGGGTATCTTTAAAAGACACACTAGTCCCAGGTCCTACATCGTTTATGAATGGCTGTAAAATGATAATTTTGGTAATTGGAAGATGTTAAGTAATAAGGTCAAATCCCAACAAAAAGCTCACAAATATCGTTTCAACAGGATATAAGTAGCGAATAGAAAGCCCCTAAATGCCCTGGTACGGCTGAGTGAGGAGAGTCCACTCTCTCTCTCTCCAAATGCTCTCAAGTGGCCACGTGCATACAACTACCACCAGGGAAGTTCTACTCACTACCTTCTTGCACCATGGGTGTTGTATACGAAGTTGAGAGGAAGAAACGCGAATGTCCGGCGCTTTAACCGAGTTAGTGGACACAGAGAGTCTACCTAGGGGAGTTGGGAAACCCTGATTCTAAACCAATGATGCACATGGGCTGGCTCCAGGATCCTGAAAGAACAAATGCCATATGAACCAACTGTTGATCAGCAGCTATCATGGGACTGCATCTCCTGACGTTGCTACACTGTCTTGTGGATCAGACCTTTAAGTCGAAGGCTCTGAGTGTGGCTCTATAAGAAAACCATCTGCTTCGATTTGGGCACCCGGACAGTATCCCAGCCCTTACATAAATCTAATGATATATGTGGCGCATTTATACTTGGTGTATCCTTATATTAATATTTATGTGTATGAATAAATAATAATGAGACGAGAAAGGAGTTTGGTAATAGACAAGGATTACGTGCCAAAGTATCGCAGGTACAAAAGATAATTTATGAACTTAATTCACTCCAACGTCCTTTAAGTAGCTGTCTTGGTATGAAGTGAAATTAAGGAATATACACTCAATAAATATCGTAATCTCAGTTGATTATTTAACCTATTACATAAAACAGAAATGCATATGCTAGATGGCGTTTAAAACCAAGTATTTGAAGATAACGTCACCAAACTATGTAGATGCGAATGGAAAAAGATGGCTATCACAAAAGAACAGGTCTTTAGACTTTGCCATATCTACCTCAGTTTGAGCAGACAAATTGTTAATAGATACAATTTCAGTAGGTGAAACGATATCCAGTCAAAACCCCATAACCTATAAGATCGAAAAAAGTGGCCAGCATGAGCAAAATATCACTAATGAGCACGCATTCATAAAAGTAATCTCTAATTTATTAGGATAATTTTACTTTTGTTTGAAGGATCGAAAACATTCTATGAACTGAACTTATATTGTCTTCCTTGGTCCACTAAATCACTTTTGGTTAATGAAGATTAGGACCCAGCCACTAGTAAGTGTCAATAACTTGATTAGTAGGAACCCTGCTATATATAAAGAAGGCTGTGCAAAGAATGTTGGCCGACCTTAGTATGCTCATTAAGAAATCCTCAAGTCATAAAAAGGCATTTGATCAAGTGCAACTGTGTAGAATTCAATAAGTCACATGGTTATTTCTGCGAACCACGTCTAATCAATACTGTTAATGTATTCATATTTGTCTATGGTAGAAATGTGACCTTGACAGTAGTAGTTCAAATGGTTCAAATGGTTCAAATGGTTGTGAACGGAATAGAAGAAGCTTTCGCTTAACAGGCTTCCGTGTCTAGTAGCAGGGGATCACCAAATCCTCCAGGCAGGAACCTAGGTATGTTAACAATAAAAGAGGAAAAGAAATTGGTAAATCATAGTGTGATGCTGTCTTTGGTCCTTAAGAATAGGTCAAGTTGCCTCTTGAAGGACTCCTGAGAAGTCGCTTGGACTAGCTCGGCTGGCAGCGAATTCCAGATTTTGACAACTCTTAAGGAGTAGAAGTTGTGTCTACATTCCGTCTTGCTATGTTGTGTTTCCAGTTTCTGGGTGTTACCCCTTAGGTTATTATTCGAACTTGATCAATCAGAAAACTGAATGGCTGACTAAAGGATGAGATATCTAACAAAAAAGGATGGTCAAATATTATAGCCAATATGCTAATTCTGACAGAAAAGTCTGATAAAGATCATTAGACAAACGGATCAAAAACAGAATCCAGACACAAGTTTCTGCCAGTCTCCCAGTACTTTGTATTCAGGTGTAGAGTACATGACGTACTCTCAGACAAATTACCAAATGGTTAAGTCCCATTTGGATACTCCGTATAATCGAACAGTAAGACAATGTTAAAAGTCGCCTACCACGTAACAGATATACACAGCCACCAACGCACTCTCTTCAGAACTGTTTCTAGAATGCCATCAGTTGAAAGGATGAAGTATAGTAAGATTGGGCAGATCTGTCTATACTCATTGTTGGGTTGGAACAATGGAGAGAGGTGATTGTATGCTCTCACTCTACTTGAGGTATTTGTGTAAAAATCCATCCAGATGTTAATTATCTTTGCATGTAGACCCATAATAGCATGATCCTATCCAACGAATTGAAGGTGGCCCCGACACTAAGGAACACAATGACTGTCGTCCTGGGATAGGTGGTGGTGTTCTAACATTTGGAAGGGAGGAAGTTATGATCAAAGTTTTCACTTAATCAAAAGCTGGCTTTCGTTTTTTGATTATTCTTTTATGGGCTTCGCACAATATATGAAGTATGACGTGAGCCAACAGCTTGGACGCAATCGAAATTAGACTTACTCTATTATAGTTAGTAGATGGATGACACAGGTTTTTTCTAAGGATGAGGACGATGACCACTTTACTCCAGATTGTTAGGGAGTTCTGTTCACCATTCTTTTCCAAATAGCCCAGTCAGCTTAATGGCCAGAAGTCCCGCATCGTCTCTGAGGAAAGCCAGAGCTAAGTAGCTTGGGCCTGGTGACTTAAGGCGCCCTAATATTTAGGGTCTTCTACAGACCGTCGCCTAGTTAGATGAGTTCTGTAGTTACTGGCCAGAGTGGCTGGACAGTTAATAGACGTTGCTGAAGCAAGAGATCATACAAGTGAATCGTGTGGCGCGTATGTATTCGGTAGGCCTTTGTACCAATATTTGTGTTTAAATTTAATAATAATAAGCGACAGACCGGACGAACTGTTCCGTAAAGAACTCTGAATATCGTCAAAGATGTCGTCTTAATTACACATAAGACAACGAGAGCAATCGACGACTATAAACAATGGTAAGTGTAGTAAGTTAAATTTTACGTGGGTAACCAGTATCCAGTTAGTAAGTGAAACACGAAACAGTAAGCCTGAATGTGAACAGACAAGACAGGAAGGAAAACTAGTGTGAGCCAATCATCTCATGTCGCTTATGTCCTAAACTCACATATGCCCCTTAAATGATCAAGTTTTCTTGGTAGGTTTGCACCTAGCTCGAATATATGTTGTTTCTTGGACGTATGTGCGCAGCAGCGCCTGGTAAAATCCAGCAAAAGGGGAATTACGCCAACAAGTGAATACGTATATGATGATCATATTACTTACTATAAAACCATTTATGTGGGATCGTAGACAAACGTAAGAAGAAGAGTGGAAACGGAGATGACAGTAAACTAGACAGGAAGTGTAGTAACAACAACAATAGGTAGGTTACGAGATATGCATCAAGCACAGCTGGTTCAAGCACGAGATGACGACACTAAGTGTTTATCAAGTCACTTCTCGAAGCTACTTCCAGAGGGGGTGACGGGCACTTTTGTTAGGAAAATACTACGAATGGTGACAACTCTTATTGAGAGATTAAGGGGGTATACCTGGGTTTTCGGTCTTTGATGTGTAATTTTGTCGAAGGTTGCTTCGAAGAGTGTAGTGGTGATTCTTCTGCAGGATGTTCGTATTGTAGTGAATCGGCGTACTTAGTATATTGTATGCCATTATTAGATCACCTCTATTTCCATACAGCTCGGCGTTAAGAATGATGAGTGTCGGAGTCTGTCTTCGTGAAATGTACTTCTTAGCACAATCACCCACTTAGTTGTTCACCTCTGCACTTGGTATAATAGATTTATATCTTTTTTTCAACAGGAGATTCCTAATAACACTGTATTTTGAGGTGAAACATGAGTATGTTCTAAGGTCTCAGGAACAATTATGAAATTGTCTTCGGAAAATTCAGAAAGTGGCTTTCGACTACATTTTTTATCAAGTTTGTGATAGTGTCTAAGTTCTTTGTGGTTATGTGTTTATTAGAAGTTGTTGAATTCGATTTTTTTTACCAGGAATGCCTAAAATGGTCTACTTGGTACTCTACTAACCACGTCTTCAAGTGAGAGTGAGCTCTATGAGGATGATCAAACGAGTTGTATTTAGAAATTATGACGAGTGCAGAAATCATTGTTGTATACAAAAATCAAAGGTCGTCAGTTGTAGACTGCGCTTTGAGGCAACAAATGGGGACGGATTGTCACAGTTACCTGGGTCTCATTGGGCTGAATGCTCATAATATGACAAATCGACAGGATAGGTTTTGATGCACTGTCTACTTACCATTCCTCCGTAGTTGTAAAGTCATTTAAATGCTCAAGTGGATCTCCAGGTCTCTTCAATGCATTTTTCGTGCCTGTAGGTAACCTTCGTGCTATTCTCTCGCTTAGCAAGCGATTTATCCCTCCATTGCTTTCGATATAATTGGGAGTGACGTGACTGGTCTGTATCAAGGTGGGTCTTTCCTATCCCCTCGGTTGAAGATTAGAGACACACTATCCTGTTTTCATCCCTTTGGAAGTTCCTGGAAACAGCATCTATCTTTATGATATATACTAACAAATAAAGTATCCTGATTTATAGTCGGATTCGTGTATTGGGGATAAGAGACCTGTGGCCAGTGTCGGTCGTTTTCTCGTTAACTTCTGTGTGTCTGGTTTTCTGAATGAGTGTGGACCATACTTCTTCAAATAATAGGTTCTAAGAATTGATGAATCGGGATAGAAACCTGTATGCCACATGTATTTTGCTCGCTCTCGACTTATGAGTTCGTCTGCTATTTCCTCTCAGTTACTCTGATCTGGTAGAAAGGAAAAATGTATATATCAGATCCAAAATCTCTTACTAGTGTTTCACACATCAAATCAGATCAGCTGTAAATCTGCGGTAGGACAGAGTAGAGTTCTAGCTTCTCAAACAGCTCTGTGCAAGATAAACCACGGTGTTTTGGAAATGCACAAATAGCTCCCCTCTGTATATTTTCCAAGATATCCGAGTCATCTATAAATAGGGACTTGCATACCGAACACAGTTTTTAAGTTTTTATCTCATCATTATTCTGTATACTGTGGTGAACACTTTGGTATCTAACTTGGTTAATATCCTGCTTAAAGCCCGTATGGTTCTGAACTCCTTCGCTGTGACCACGTGGCAGTAGCTCGTGGTCTTAAGGTTACAACTCACTGTATTACAAAGATCCTCCACCACAATTTCAAACTACTATTTTTTGATGCTTAAAAGAACAAATCAGCTCCTCGTAGATTAACTGATAGCAAAGAAATGCGCCAAATACTGATTAGATGTCAACAGACTTATCGTTAACACTTCAAAGTGTCAAGTAATCCATATGAGACATTTTTCAGACTAAGATACAAGTTAGGTAACTCCTCTCAAGAGATATCCCAAGTTGGAAAAGATCTAGGGGTGTTGGTGCCCTACGATCTGAAGTCTTAAGCTGCCTGCCGAGTAAACCTTGTACTGATAACACTGAAGAGCATTTTCGGCCAGTTCGACGTAAGAACTTTCCACATAATCTTCAACAGTTTTATTCGTCCTCATTTAGAGTGCGGAAACATAGTACATCCTCCCTCACTCTAAAAGGATAAGGACACCCTGGACCGCATCCAGAGATGAAATCAGTTCTATGACTCAAGTTCAAGTCTTATGAAGAGCACCTTCAATCACTGAACCTTTACCTATTAGAGTAGAGGCGTCTGGGAGGTGACCTAATAACTTACGGCATCCTTAACACTTCCTTACATCCCCTTAAACACCTACTTAAGCTTAGTCTCAACGCAAACCTTAGAATTAACATCCAGAAAGTGGAAACAATACAACAGAACAGCCTATAGACACACCTAATACTGCTTAAGAGTAGTCAAATGTTGGAATTCGCTGCCGTATGAAATGGTCCAAGAGACTTTTCAGGAATCCTTCAAGAGAGAACTTGATGTATTCTTCAAAATTATATACGAAATTTTACTATGATTTACCAACTTTTTCTTTCCTCTCTTTTATCGTTAATATACCTAGGTTCTTACCTGGAGGCGTCAATGATCCACTGCTACTAGATATAGAAGCATATTAAGCGAAAACTTCTTTTATTGTGTTCAGAACCATTTGAACAATTTGGACTATAGTGCCGTATTTGAGTGATAGGGGTGATCATTGGAACGGAACAGCGGGCGGCCTTGAGTGACCTTCACTGTCCTTGGTGTGAACTATGGCCCTTTTGTGAGCAATTTTTAGTTTTAAAATTGTTGGCCAGCACGTGTTTATGGTAGATGGATTTCTATCGAGCTAAAAGTCTTTTTGTATCTCGTCAGGGGTTTACTTCAAGTTTAATTCCAGCCATATAAAATCAACCCCCATATTTCGAATTATTCTTAGGAGTAAAAGAAAAAAAGTCTTGTGAGGTAGGAGTTAGGTTAGTGTTGTAAGTTCGGATAGTCGACCCATGGAGTTTTCGTAATCAACGATAGTTGCTAGTGTTAAACACTAGCAACAAGGCAAATTTGCCTTAAGTAATCAAGCTGCAGCTTGATTACTTACGATGACATGTCATCGTAATTCTGATTGTCTAACTCAAGCTCGTCAGTATGATATACTTTCATCAAGTAGTCATACAACATCCAGTTGGCTTTAGGCTTTTAAGTTTTGTTTTGCTATTTCTTCGCAAGTCTTCTGTTCTAGACGGTTAGAAATGGGGACATATCAGATACCCAATCATGGTTAGGTTGGTGGTGAGATTACAATTTATGGACGACTTCTGAGCAACACCAAGATAACCATGGAGTGCCATTCTACTTGCTAATGAGGGTTATAGATTAGTGTGAGGAATTAGGATTTACAGTTGAACGTTGGAGTTAGGAATTAGATCTAATATTTTCATCATGAACTGATATCAGCTATGATACCAGAGTGATACTTAGAAATGAGTGAATAAATTTCGCACCAAGATTCAAGATTATCTTAGATGTGAATGGTTCGTTCATAAACTATAATCTCTCACACGTCTCTGATTTTGTCGCAAAATTCATTTATCCTTATGGCTAAACAGCATTTTGGGCTGATAAATGATGTCAGTTCGTGATGAAAAACCATAAATCCAATTCCTAACCGTAACTCCCAACCTTAGATCTTAATCTCAGTTCCTCATACTAATATATATCAAGTAGGATATTCTCAGGGTTACTTTAGCATCGCTCAAAGGTCGTCCATAAATGATAGTCCCACCTGTAACATTATTCATTAATGTAAATGAGTAAGATCAAGTTTACATATTGTTAGGTGGGCTATTACTATGAGCCATGGTTGTAACCTTATGGGGTTTTCGTCACCAACTGATATCAGCTATAATGCAATCATGCTTTATCACCCTTTTGTTTACAAGATTAAAAACCTTAAGGTTTAGAGTTAGTGTGGAAAAATACTATCTGGCTACACAGGCTCTTGATATACACTTGCGTACATCAGGTTCTTCCTTGTTCCTCCAATTAATTTTTTTTGAAGCATAAATAATCTGTAAAACTATCCTTATGCAATAATAGGGTAATGCAACCCCTATTTATCCTCCGATTTAATTATGAAACCAGGCATTTTGAAGATTCTTTAGCATCCGAAGCAGACTTTGTTTCATATCCCCTTCTGGACTTGTGTTGAGTCAGGACTTAAAGGTTCCTTGCTCTTCGATATTGAGATTTAGTTTCGTCAGTACAGCATTGATCTAAATTTCTCCCATATTCTTTTACGAAGAACAGTACAAACATTCTCTCCTAATAGAAGTGGGTTTTCTTGATTTACTTGGAGTTATTTCAGGTACGCACTATTTGATGCCTCCAGTGTATAAATCTTTAAAAACTGTAAAGCCGTGTGTATGGTAAGTTCGTGTTTAGTAGGCTAATCTACCGAAGACGCTGCATGTATATTTGACAGAATATCTAATTTCCACACATTTAATCTGATCAGGGCAGAAAAATAAATGCTAGCATCAGTCCAAAGAGTGAAGAATAACATTGCATGATTACTTACTAAGCGATGGGGTGTTATCAAGGTTGATAACAATTTCCTCATTCTAGTTCTTGTACATTGTTAATTGTTGTCTAACGCCTTCACTATTGAATGTAAATGAATTCAATGTTACCTGCGAGTTTCTGGTTCACGTTTCTGAACTTTATATGTCCTAGATTCTCACGTCTTTCACTAAAAAAACTCGTGGCTAGTCATAAGCCTACCGACAACTCGTTACTGCAACTTAAGTGAGCTCGTTGGGGTCTAGTCGATATCGGTTCCTTTCTGTTTTTCGACTTTTAGACTGCAGTTTGAGTCAGAAATACTGTCTCCTTCAGTTACTGACTGGATATCTATTATTGCCATCTGATGTCTTGAAGGAATCAATTATTCATCTCGAGATGATAGTAGTCCCACCAATTTTCGTAATTGTGATGTTTTTTTAAAATGAGTTTAAATTCCTTATCTAGGTTATATTATACTCCGAAGAATTATTGCCAGTAGTTCCGATGTAAATTTCTTCACAAAATGGAACTAACTCTTCCTGAACTTAATCATAACTGCTTCAGTACTCTGGATCAATCTTCTGATAACTCGGAAAGCTATGGATCACTAAATTATAGTTTTGCACTGATTGATTGTAAAAATTCCAAAAATGAGCAGTTGTATGGTGCCATTTCTGTCAGAAATTGGATTAACTCTGGGGTATATTTCACGTAGTTTCTCACACGTTATCCTTCTTTAGAACAATGATTACTTAGAAGAAAACTTGGGTGATCTGCGAAAGTGTTTGATGCAGAAAATTTTGGAGCTGAACTGTCATTCTACAAGTCATATACCAAATCCAGCAGTTACAAAGTTGTATGAGTCTTTGGTGTGCTTGTACTTTAAGACCCCAAAACTTTGGTCACATCCATTAAGGTGGATTATAGAAGTATTAATACACGGTAATTGTTTTTATTTCGAATATCCATGTGGTTTTTGACGATCATTTAAATTCCACTTGATTATATGTGGTTGTGTTTGCCTCAGTTAAGTTTGCGCTTCTCATGGGAAAACTCGCCTATTTGGGGTAAAGATAACGGGATCCTTTCCATTGTACACGTAGCAGTCTCATCATGAAAGGTAATTTAATAAGTCCTCTGTTTACTGGTTAGTAGTGCCTGGGATCAAGATTAGTCCAAATATTTTTGATTATATTTATTAAGAAATTAAGACTGATTTCAACCTGAAAATATGTAATTAAGAATCATACTCGGTGCCATTACTGGGGACAA